CAGGCAACTCTAAGTACCGACCTCTGAGCAGGTACTCAGAAAGTTCCTGAAAGCGGCTGGCCCAGTCAAGTGGAGACAAGCATTTTGGGAAGTACCAGTGAATTTACCCTGAAGTTCCAGTAATGGAAACACAGGCATCGTATCTTTAAATTTCCCCAAAAGACTTTTTTGCTGTTTAACTTAATAATTTGTAATCTACCTAAAACTATTAAGCTATTTTCGAAATGTTGCTTGTTGTTTTTTTCTTCATTTTGTGCCTACATGTTCAGTTGTAGCATGAACAGTTTCACAATAGAATGAATAAAGTTTTCATTGTGATTAAATTTCGATCTACAATTAAAAACTAGGTAGCATTTCATTGTACAGTCCTCTAATTACTAAGTACGTACATGGTAATTACATAGTAAGTTAGTGTAATATTGTGTATTTAAAGTGTATAATTGCAATAAAGTGTAATTATTGTGCAAAGTAGTATTTACTAGGAATGATTAATACAAATAAAAACTAGAATTGAAGTTGAGTCGCATGGTAACAACTGTTTAGGAACTCAGAAACAATAATACATGTTAACTTACTATGTAATTACCATGTAAGTACTTAGTAATTAGGAGACTGTAAAAGGAAACATTACTAAAAAATTAATGGCTTGAAGCTGTTCAAAGAAATAATTCAAGTTGCTATAAAACTTTTGAAAACTCAGGGTTTTGAGGACAAACTACTCCCACTACTACTAATATTACTACTACTACTACTAATAATAATAATAATAATAATAATAATGATGATGATGATGATGATGATGATGATGATGATGATGGTTTAGAAGCTTGGAAGTTTTGAAGTCTTCATGTCGAGATCTAACTTGAAAAAAACTCTTTACATCAACTTAAAAGTTTAGCAAAATAAATTACAGGACAAGCTGTTTTTGACATTATCTCATAGTCATAATAAACTTGATTTGACATGAAAAAGATTATTTTTAAATTGTAAGAGAGAAGATTAAAATATCCCCTTAAAACACAGAGAAACACAAAAAAAGTAAAGAAATATACTTGTATTTCATTTTTGTATCACTTGTGGGAAGATAATCATTTTTTGCTCAAACACCAGGATTCGTCCGCTCATGTCCAGAATGTCTGGATTTCCAAGGACGCGGAGATCATATGTAGGAGAGAGGCAATGGAACATAGAGATAATCGATGCACCATCCAGCACTGAATATTAAGTCCGAGTGGGAGGACAATCCTCCAAGCTAACACACACACATAACCACACACACTCACGCACACACACCAAACAGATGGTCAGAAGGGGAAACTCTGATGACTACAGCTGACAGAAAAGGTGACATTCCTTATGCTGATTACAAAGTTCTCCTGTCAGATTGAACTTGGTTTCCTGAGAAGAACAAAAAATAATGTATACAGAAGGAAGGGGAGGGGGTGATGTGGGGAGGAATAAGATCATAAACCGATAGGAAGGAGGTAGAGAAAAAGGTGTTTGCTTTGTTTTATATTTTAGGGTGGAAGAAAAATGGTAGCAGTTTAATGAGCAGTGTAATCCATATGTTTACCTACTGGAGCTGAGTATATGTTTGAAAAGCAATCAAATGTTGAGAAAAATACAAGCAGAAAATGTTTAAGACAAGGATAGTATTGCGTTTAATTGTGAGTAATATTAGATTTAAAAAACCAAATGAAAATATTTATTTCAATGAACAGATTGGGAGGATTAAAATGCAGAAGAGTGATCAAGGACAAGTGAGTTCAGGAGAAAAAAAATGTTAATCAGTATTTTCCTTTTGTAAAAAACTGAGCAAAATGCTGTTTGAGTAGAAAACTACTTACTCTTAGAAAAGATGGGAAATTTTTCTTTACCATTTGCCTGTATTTGTTTAGTGCAGGGGTGGGCAATTATTTTTTCCATGGGGCCACATGAGGAATAGAAAATATTGTGGAGGGCCAGGCCAAAAGGCTGAAGTCAATTATGCATAATATTAATGGTATTTCTTTATAAAAAGCAGTAAATACCATCGTTTTTTCAAGCTGGTAAGCGTAGACTATATGTTATAAATGAGCAAAATGGAAAAAGTGAGGTTGGCTTACAAAAATGTGATTTATTCAAATTCCCCAAAGCAATGGTAAACAAAGTGCGCATTTGGTTTTTGTTAAACATTTGTGACTTATATTAGTTAACAGTTTTAGTCACATTCACTCCAAAACACATTTTGAGTTTCAAATATTGTTGGAAAGAGGTTCTTAGCATTCTACAGACACACAGTATTGTCTGTATAATAAAATCACTGAACTGTCATCTTGAGAAAGAGGTTTAAAAAAAAGTGTCCCAGTTCACTGCTAGTTGCCTACATTTGTGGTCCAAACACCTTAGTTTGTGTTTTTAAGCGATTTTTTTCTTATTCAATGAGAGAAATCTAGTCTCTGCTGGGCTTTAACGAGTGCATCAAAGTCAGGTTGAATGTCTGAGGTGGAGATGCGAAGCACAGCTGACAAATGATCATCAGTGAGAGAGGATCTTTACCTGGATTTAGTAAACTTCATCATTGAAAATGTTTGTTCACAAATGTAGGTAGAGCCGAAGAAAACCAACATCTTCTGAGCATGTCTCCTCAGGTTTGGAAAGTTCTCCTCCTTAAGAGAAGAGTAGAAATCCAGCAGAGATCCTGAATCTCTGCTTTCAAGTCCCAAACCCTCTTCAGCACTTTCCCCAGGCTGAGCCATCTGACAGCTGTGTGGAGTCCTCCAAAAGAGCCACAAACTGTCTGTGATTCATTGCCCGTGCCCTGATGAAGTTTATTATTTTAGTAACAACATCAGTAACATGGTTGATTTTTGCACTGACTTGCACAACACATGTTGGTGTATAATACAATGCAAAAACACCTATTTTTGATCTGCATCGATTTCTGTCACTTTATCTTGCATGCGTTTCAAAAGTCCGACATTTTTCCCTGTAAGATTTGGACAACCATCTGTTGTGACACCTTACAGTCTCTCCCATTTCAATCCCAGAGTGTCCGTGCACGCATTTACCTCTGTAAAAAGATCACTCCCTGTCGTTGTCCCTTTCATCAACCGCATTGCTGCCAGCTCCTCTGTGAGCTCCGTTATCCCCCGGACAAATACGAGCAGCTGGGCTGTGTCGCGGACATCACAGCTCTCGTCTAAGGCCAATGAGAAAAAGTCAAAACTTGCCACTTCACGTTGCAGCTGAAGCTCCAGGTTCCCCACGGTTCGCCTGGACAGCGGGATTTGCTCAAATGTGCCTTTTCTTCAGGGCATATTAGTGCTGCGGAGTCCACCATGCACTCTTTGACAAACTCTCCCTCCGAAAACGGCTTGCTGTTTTTAGCTATTTTGTGGGATATCACAAAGCTGGTCCTGGTTGCTGCATCCCTGGATGTGTGAAGCTTAGTAAAACAGCCTTGCTGCTTTTGCAACTTTGCTAGCAAAGCTTCGGATGTCCGTGCCCTCTCAGCATCAGATGAGTTCTTGTATTTTTCCGAGTGTTTCTTGTCGTAATGCCGACTCAAATCGTAGTCCTTAAACACGGCAATCTCCTCCCCGCAAACCAAACACACGGCTTTGCCTCCGACTTCAGTAAAAAAAAAAAATACTTAGCAGTCCAATTTTTGTTGAAAATCCTGTATTTGGCATCTTTCTTTCTTTTTTTTTTTTTTTTTTTTTTTTTTTTGCATGAGCGGACATTTCTGGGGCTACAATCACCATGTCAACCGCGGGCACTTGTTGCTATACGTATTGCGTCATTGTGCACGTAAAAATCAACTTCAAAATAAAAGCAATTGCAGCCTTAGCCCATGCATGAGGTAAAATGAGAAAATACATTTATTTTGTAATTTCCAATTAACCTTACGCGGGCCGGTCAAAGTCAACCAAAGGGCCGTATGTGGCCCGCGGGCCGTAAAATGCCCAGGTCTGGTTTAGTGCCTTCTTAGGGTTCTACAACCCCCCAAGGCGCTTCACAATACAGTCAGTCATTCACACATTCACACACTGGTGGGGATGAGCTAGGATGTAGCTACAGCTGCCCTGGGGTGTACTGACAGAGGCGAGGTTTGCTGAACTCAGGTGCCACCGGTCCCTCCGACCACCACCAGCAGGCAAGTTGGGTAAAGGGTCTTGCCCAAGGACACAACAGCAGCATTCTCTGAAAGGGCTGGGACTGAACCTGCAACATTCAGGTTACTGGACAACCCGTTCTACCTGCTCAGGAGGTAGAGCTGCTACCTCATGCTGCTACTGCTCAAGAATCAAATTATGATTCTTTTCCTTTTGAAACATAAGTGTTTTATCATTTTTGGGTTTAGAACAAGATTTAGCATGTATGTCATACATGACTATGTGTCAAGGTGTCTTCACACTGTGTGATAATGTGAAATGAAAAAAGGGATAAATACAAATGCAGGGGAGGCTCCATGGTTACAACAGAAGATAAGATTAAAGTTTCTGCAATCTCACATGAAAGAGGAATAATTTTTAACTAATAATCTGTTTTTGTGGCATATTTTAGGTATTTTCTATTTAAAAGAATATCACATCCACATAAAACACGAGAAAACAAATCTCAACATTAGAAAAGCAGAAGGCCAAAAACCAGAGGAATGTTAACTAAGAACAGACTCTACAGAGCTGTCGAGAACAGAAATGGACAACGCCTCAGACGGAGTGGGACAGACTCCATGGGAGATGGCACTAGATAGACCGGTCACCACTCCTTCAGGAGAAGCTGTCAGGTTTCACAGAAGCTGGATGCAACAAATGTGTGTTCCCATGGAAACACAAGGAGCATGGAAAGTGCTGTAACAGCTCAAAAACATCTGAAATATGTAATCAGGTCAAATGATGTTCAGATGAGATGAATAGGTCAACATGAAAGGGAGTTAACTATGTAACTTCCACAAATGGAAACAAATGAAGTCTTGTTTAAAATGATTTAGATGAAACACTTGGGAGGTTTCTCACCTGTAGATCTTCATGGTTCGCCTTATATTGGTCCTTCATATGGGAGGAAGTTCTCACCCCATCTTCTCGCCTGCTCCCCCTGTCTCTCTTTACATCTGGACACCAGAAATCAACATTGTTCGTGCCATAACCAGTTTTCTTCTCCCTCCCTCCTTCTAGTTCTCTTCGGAGGCTGTCGTTCTCTCTCTGCAGGTCCTTCAGCTGAGCCTGGAGGTCACAGGTGGAAATATCTCCCCGTCTAGCAGAATCCAGAGTACGTGTACAACTTCCAGTTTGTAGACGCAGACTGGAAGTCCCTGCAGAAAGCCCACTTTGGTCTCCACAAGCGTCTGACAAGTGATGCAGCCCAGAGGACGTGATGTTTGGGCTGCTTCTCATTGCTGCTGTCCGGCCAGTGTAAGAAGAGTGGTTGGTACTTCTGCCTAATGTCATTGTGCCTTTGGGGAAACCACTAGAAGATTCCAAGGACTCACGCTCACTAGGATACATAGTGCCAGAAGTGGCATAAGCAGCACTTAAAGACTGGATGTTCTCCATAGACAGGGTTTTACCACCCGGAGCTGTTGCTGAACAATGAGATGATCTCTTGTCTGCTGCTGCTTTGCCAGCTTGAGTTTTTGAACCTGGCTTTGACACTGACCCTTGATTTCCTGCCAGCTTAGACACTGGTGCAGGCCCACCCCCTGACACACAGCCTGGCTCGAGTCCTGAGCGGGATCCTGGTGCCGAGCTTACAGCCTGCTTGCCCTTGCCTTGTTTAGGAGACCTTGAGAAGCGTGAATGAGATGTGCTTCCTTCACTGTGCCCGCTACTCTTAGCAACAGCAGACAGCTTGCTGTGTGAGGGCTTAGGTCTCACATTTAAAGGCATCTTTTTATGGCAAAATAGAGCTCCTATGAGGAAACTTTTGCAGGTGACAATATTTGTTATTTCCCGTTATGGAGCCAGCCAGAAGGAAGCTACAGGATTTATGAAGGCCACGTTTTGGCCTCTTAGTTTTCACCTGTCCATTCCTGGATGTGTAGGCTGGAAGGCTGAGGCCTTTTTACATCCTTTAAAAGAAAACATCTGTTGGCAGTCCACTCTGAGAGATTTTGGCCAAATGGGTTGTGAGTTCAGCAACACTGCAGGTCATCATGGACTCTAAACAAGAAAAAAGAAGACAACATGGAAATTGACTGTATTTGTATAATCCCTTCTAAAGGTTCTCCAACCCCCCAAGGCACACACATTCACACACTGGTGGTGGTGAGCTGTCCTGGGGTGCGCTGACAAAAGGTGGGGCCTGCCATACACAGTTGCCACCAGTCCCTCCAACCACCACCAGCAACCACTGTTGGTTAAGTGTCTTGCCCAAGGACACAACAGCACCATTCTCTGCTAGGAGACGGGATCAGTCCTACAACCATCCGATTACTGAACAACTCGCTCTACCTCCAAACTGCTGTCCATACAACTTATGTGGGAACAACCATACTTGTTTTGATAAAATAATATGAACAGTGGCACGTGTCGTTTATATTGTGCCACTGCTTACATTTATTTTGCCAGGAAAATATGGAAACCAGTAAAAAAAAAAAAAAAAAGTAGGTCTAATGTTTGTGTACTTCTCCCTCTTCCTAATTAATAGCTTGTCAAACAGAAAAGGAAATGTGGCATTTACTCTATCAACTAGACAACATAATAAACAGGGCAAATTGAAATACACTAAGCCGGGGGTATTCAATTCCAGGCCTGGAGGGCCAGTGTCCAGCAGGTTTTAGTTGTAACCCTGCTTCAACACACCTGATTTCAACCAGCAGGTGATTAACTGGCTTCTGCAGAGCTTGATGAGCTGCTGCAGGTAACTGCTAAAAGGTGCTGGATACCGTCCCTGCAGGACCAGAATTAAAAACCCCAGCACCCCAGATATGCCATCATCAATCTTTCTGTGTTTATGAACCAGTAATGTCATGTTCTACGTCCTGCGTCCCCCTCGTACTGTCATGTTCTGCATCCTGCGTTCCCCTCATGTGTCTCCTTGTGTTCTCAGCCCGCTCCAGGTTTTCCCCTTAGGTTTCTGTGCCCCTTTAGGACTCCTGCTCTCGCCAGGTTTTCCTCAGTTTCCCCACTTAGTTAATTAGTCTCACCTGATCCCTTCTGATCTCACTCCCCACACACCTGTCACCTGTTTTCCTGATTGTTCCCTCTGTGTCTCTATGATTTGTCGGTCCATTGTTGATTTTGTCAGCCTTGTTTTTTTGTCCTCCTCGAGTCTCCCAGATGCTTCATGCTTTGGATTTTGCTCCTCCTCCTTAAATAAAGGAATTTATTTTTCTTACAACCTCTCCTGCCTCGAGTCGTTCTGGGTTCTGCACTTTGGGTTCGGCCTCCTCCCGCCGCATCGTGACAAGTAAGACCAATTCTGTATCACAGACAAAACTCAGTAACTCAAAAAATCATGAATTTAAAGACGGCTGACGTCTGAAGTTAAACCAGTGTAGTACATTTTACTATTACTGTGGAAGACTGCATGGGGAATTAGAAGACCAGCCTTCATTATCTATCCTCCCCCAGGGACAATTTCAAATTTCCAGTCAGACTTTGCACCGCTGTACATATACCTCAGGGTTCAACTAAAAATGGAAGACCAAAGTAGGCAGTGGCACTATGAATTTAGGTTACCTGGATAAACCATGGTAGAACCACCCATGTTGGATTAGCATGTGCTTCGTGTTACTTTGTGTGCACTCTCTTCAGTTGCAACACCCAGAGCTCACCTGATTATTGATGATAAGCCACATCCATTCCTTTGGGATCACATTAGACTTGTTTAGGGGTGGACTGGGACCAAAGATCGGCCCTGGCATATTAAGGGACCATTGGCTCTCAGAGCCGGGGGGGGGGGGGGGGGGGGGGGGGGATTGGCGGGTTTGCCCACCAGGACAGTGAAACAATGCCAGATAGACCAGTCCACCCCCTTACTTATAGAAAGACAATGCACCATGTCAAAAAGCTCAGATCATCTCTAAACGGTTTCTCAAAAAGGAAAATTCATTCACTAGACTCCAATAACTTCCACAATCACTATATTTTAACCCAACCCAACACCTCAGGGATGTGACAGGTCAGGACATTCTCATCATGAACATGTGTACGTATGTAGCTGTGTGGGCATATGGGCCACAATCTCAGAAGAATGCTTCCAAAACTTTTTTCTGAGTGTTTGGGGCCCAATGCAATCACCTACTATTAATAGTAAGACTGCCTCTGACATTAAGTGGAAAAACAGAACATTAGCTGTATTTGTCGTCGTCGTCGTCATCGTCTTCCTCCGCTTATCCGGATCTGGGTCGCGGGGGCAGCATCCCAACTAGGGAGCTCCAGACTGTCCTCTCCCCGGCCACCTCCACCGGCAGGACCCCAAGGCGTTCCCGGACCAGATTGGAGATGTAACCTCTCCAACGTGTCCTGGGTCGACCCGGGGGCCTCCTGCCGGCAGGACATGCCCGAAACACCTCCCCAGGGAGGCGTCCAGGAGGCATCCTGACCAGATGCCCAAACCACCTCAAATGGCTCCTTTCGATCCAAAGGTGCAGCGGTTCTACTCCGAGTCCATCCTGAATGTCCGAGCTCCTCACCCTATCTCTAAGGCTGAGCCCGGCCACCCTACGGAGGAAACTCATTTCGGCCGCTTGTATCCGCGATCTCGTTCTTTCGGTCATTACCCAAAGCTCATGACCATAAGTGAGGATTGGGACGTAGATCGACCGGTAAATCGAGAGCCTGGCTTTCCAGCTCAGCTCCCTCTTCACCACGACAGATCGGCTCAGCGTCCGCATCACTGCAGACGCTGAACCAATCCGCCTGTCGATCTCCTGATCCCTCCTACCCTCACTCGTGAACAAGACCCCAAGATACTTAAACTCCTCCACTTGAGGTAGGACCTCTCCCCCGATCCAGAGTTGGCAAGCCACCCTTTTCTGGTCGAGAACCATGGCCTCAGATTTGGAGGTGCTGATCCTCATCCCAGCCGCTTCACACTCGGCCGCGAACCTACCCAGCAAGAGCTGAAGGTCAGAGCTGGATGAAGCTAGGAGGACCACATCATCCGCAAAAAGCAGAGACGAGATTCTCCTGCCACCAAACTCGACACACTCCACACCACGGCTGCGCCTAGAAATTCTGTTTTTTTAATGTTAAATAAACAACATTAAAGACATTTTAAAATATCCCTAAAAGAAAAACATCATAACCCAGTACATCATGCACCAGTTATTGAGGACTGTCTGAGGCAAATCCAAATCATAATCCCTCCTCTAATCTAAGAGGATTGGGTGCTGGGAGTCACTAAACAGGATGCAACTGGGAGATTGGTTCTGTATGCTTGTCAGTCATCATTATTGTTGGAAACAATAAACTGGTCTTTCTCTACAAAATTTGGGGAAAAACTTTATTGGATTCATAATATGATGGATTGACATTTATTTTATACATGACTTGAAACTATAGAGAATAAAGAGACGCTTAGCAGGCACTAATAAAGCTGTCTAAATTATTTGCCTTACAATATTCTAACTTCACGCAACTGAACCCTCATGTGGAACGATAGTTAACGGGAAACTGAACAAAACCAAAAGGAAACAGTCACAGCTTGATTTTAAATCACTCCACTTACTTCTGAGATGCAGCCAGCTGTTGCTGCGGAGGAAAAGTCGAGACACCACCTCAGATCTCGTTCATTTGCATGATTATCATTAGTTACGCTCCGAACGCTTCATTAAGTTCTGCAAAGCAGTAGCGAGGACACCGCGCCAGAGCGCACACTGATTCTGACCAGGCAGCTTGGGCACACAGAGGAATAATTCTAGACTACTACGACCACCGCAGCATGAGGGATTAGTTTCCTGCTCATAATGTCTACACGGCTACATGAGTCCGAGCTAGTATCTTACATAATCATTAATCTGTCTCGCAAACTGACCGCACTCAGTTCTATTTGTTCTAATAAAACGTGGTCTTTTAAGGCCCCCAGGTGCGCACTCACCGGGTAGGGACAGACACCTCTCCATCACCGCTGGGTCCCCGGCCGTATCCCGTCCGACCTCAGTGCAGGCTCCATGATCTCATCGGCTCAGCTGTAGCTGTGACCTGTCCTACCAGCGGGTCCGCGTGGGCGCGCTAACCCAGCTGGCGCGTGCGCGACCGAGAGCTCACGTGCAGTAGGGATGGGGCAGACGCGTCAGGTATAAAGCAGTTTCTGTAGTTTATTCTATCACAGCAACAAATTGGACCCTTAATTTTTCACACAAACATTTAGAGGATTTTTTATTTTAATTTTTTGGAGGGAGTAATTGTTATAATTTAAGGTCGTCTAAAACAATGTTAAAAATAATTAAGACAGTAAAGCAATGTTTACATTTTTATTCAAACTCCCCGTATTTGGGGGGCTTTTTTAGCAGTTTACTTTTTTCTGTTGAGTTCAGAACAATCTGCAATACATAAAAGGTCTAAAATGTGCCCTAAAGGCAGGCTGACCTGCCTTTCATGAAAAATAAGAATTATACAATTCTGACTAGATTACATTTTGAAAGTAGGTCAAAATGTCACTAGGATGCCTTTTGAAATGATTCAAAAAGGTGAACAGATGGAGCAGGGACAGATTAACACTTTGTTGTACCCTGGGCAAGAATATTAAAGGGCCCCATCATCACGACCCAGGGATCACCATAATATGGTCACATACAGAATATTTACTGTAATATCCAGTAAATATACTCAATACTTGAATGCCTGACATCACGTAACCCGCTTAGGGTAACCTTTGACCCACCTTGTGTGGATTGACCAATGAGAAGAGGGTCTTAACTTGAGGCCCTCTCTTCATTAGTCAGTCTGCATGAGACTGACTCTCAACCGCTCTCAACTGATGTTCAAAGTCATAGGCAGTGAAGCATCTCTGTGCAGTGCAAAAGCCTGGGTGGACAGTTTCTTTAATAGGGTGACCATATTTCAATTTCCAAAAAAAGAGGACAGGGGATCTGTGCCTATGACGTCAGTCACACTATGGCAACGCCACACAAACCACGTTGGAACCCATTGTTTTGTAAGAACTAAAATTAATATCAGATTCTGCCAATAAAAGGGCTCTAAAACAATTCATATGTAAAAAATTTTCATAGTTATTGCAAAAGCTCATTTTTCTGCTTTAGTGCTGCAACAAGGTCATATTAATAATAAATTATTATACCTTTTGTTTTACTACAGCATCGGTAAGCTTCCTGTGCACAGATTATTAAGGATGTTTGTTTCAGCTGTGAGATTAGATGATGGGATCAATGAAAAAATAAGTTGTCACACACTCCATGGAAACTTTCAGAGAATCCACAAATAGTGGCTTTCTAATGGCTTTGTTACTTTTTGCAAGTTTAGAAAAGAAGCAGATGAGACAGCATGTCTGATCATTTAGTTTTTCATCTGATAATATTAGAACATGTCAGTGATGTCTGAGGGGTTTTAACAAACTGTCATGTCCCCTCATGTGTCTCCTGGTGCTCTCCTTTCGTCTCTAGGTTCTCCTGTTGTGTATCATAGAACCCTCTTTGTGTCACTGCCCTCTGGAAAGAGATACAGAAGTCTCCGCTCCCGCACTACCAGGCTCACCAACAGCTTCATCCACCAGGCTGTGAGACTGCTGAACTCTCTTCCCTCCCGGCTCCCAGCCAGTAGAATCACCAGTGTGACAGAAGTATAGGAAGACAGACTGGACTCTACACCCCCAACACCCCATCCACACACACTTTCCAACAAGGAAATACTCGTTGAACCAAGAACTGGGAAACATTCCTGGTTGGAAACAACTACTTCTGCATTGCAATTGCACACACCTGCTGCTGTATATTTTTAGTATATTTTTAGCGCTATTTACATTACTTATATTACTATTACTGCGGCTATAGTCTTATGCTGCATTAAAACATAAACCCCTAACTACCACAACCTGGGACTACCTCAAGTAGACTAATATACTACTTACAGGGAACACTGGTGGAACATATTTTTTAATTTATTTGATTATAGGTTAGGTCTTGTCTATCCTGTTACCTATTTAATATTACCTTATTGTTAGGGCTGTTTTTGTTGTGCTGAACAAAAGGCCCCATAGTTGTGAGTTCTCCTTTCTATTCTGTTCAGTTGTTGACCTGTAGTTGCTTAGAGTGACCTGTAGAGGCCGCCCGCGATAATAATTCTGATTAGTATATATATATATATTATATATATATATATATATATATTAATTAGTGTTTTCACTGATAACACTAATTAATTTATATTTGATCTTGATGGTGAAACTAAAGGCGTTTAACACTGAACACCTAACATGAGCTTCTGAGAGCTAGCTAATATCAGCTAAAACTGTGTTCTGCTGCTGCTCACCTTCCTTCTTGAAAAACCTAGTCAATACTTGCTTCTGTTCAATTAACTTTCTCTCCTTTTCTTTTCTTTTCTTTTCTTTTCTTTTCTTTTCTGGAAGCCAGATTTCCCTTTCTTGGGAAAAGACATGACTGACTCTCCTGCCTCCAGCTCTGGCTGTCGGCATCTGCGATGTCTCATAGCTGTACATGCGGCTGTGCAGCCCCTGGCCGCTGGTGTGGACTAAACCACTTTGCACATTTTTAAGGGGTGATAGATGCCTCAGAGATTATTCGGTTATTATTTTTAAGGCAAAATTCTGTTTCTTAACCTCTTTATCCAGGTAAAGGGAAGTTTATTAAGACATTAAGTAAGTTGGGAGGAAAAACAACAACAATAAAACATTTTTATTCGAAGCTGTCTCAGGGCCCCTCCCTGCAGTGGGCCCTGGGTAAACGGTACCCTTTCCCCCCCAGTCCGACGCCCCTGGTGTTCGCTCCCGCTTACCAGCAGAGAAGTGGTCATTTCGTGAAAAGTGTGCGTTACTGAGCAACGTAAGTCTGTGATGTGTGAGGATGTGCGGATAAAATGTGTTTGTGACTGTAATCGAAGTTAGAGGGAAATGACGATGTTTCTGTTTGTGTCGCTAGCGAGTGCTAAGCGAAACTAATCTAAGTTAGGCTAGCTCTCCTGCCGTGTGATTGGGGATAATTGGGTGTTGAGTTAGCTCAGTGGGTTTATATATGAGATGTGGGTAATATCTGGTTTATGGTAGCAAAGGGGACGTTATTTTATTTCCTACCCGTGTTTCTGTTGATGTACTCCGAGTTACTATTATGAACATTTTAGTGATGTACTATTTTCTTTCTGTTCATTTCAGAGACCACACACACACACCTGTACCTAATCTTGTATGTAACACCTGCTCCTCCAACGAGCCTGTTACCTTTGACTGTGTGGAGGCAATACAAGCGTTTAAACCATCCTGGGTGTCTTCGGTGTCTTCTTCCTGAATCACCATCTGGGCCTAGAGTAGTGTTCTGGCCGACACTCCGGGGAGTGGCAGCTGCAAACCGGAATCAACACCTTACAGTCCTCCCCTTCCATGTTATCTACCCACCACTAGTGGTCCTTCGAGCCGGATGTAAGCTGCTTCTACCCTAACAAGATGGATGACATTCAGAACTTCTCAGTTCTTGGTGCGCGCCCACGGCGTAATGTACGTCGTCCCCAAGCCCCCACAATGCGGCTCCAAAATTGGTCCCAACGCGGAAGTGCCAAAAATTGCAGTTCCACCCTCATCTGCTGGGGGCTGGTGTCAGAAGCGAGCAGATCCTCATTGACTCCCATGTTAAAAATACCAATTTCACAGCAGAAATAAACATGTTTACAGCCTGGTACCAAAACATGTTTTTTGTTTAAATTATCTAGTTTACACTCATGACAACTCTGAGGGGGGGGGGGGTGAATTTTTTTTCTCACTTTTCTGTTTAAGTGTATTGAAAGCCTAAAATTCTGTATAATTAATGAGCATCCGACACACGTGACCACCGCCTCAGACCCACGTGACCACAGAGCTAGCTCAGTGGAAAGGCCTCAGTACAGCCTCGGGCTCTCCTGGAAACTGTTTCGGGATTATGAGTCTCTGTGCTTGTGTATTCTGTTTTGGATATTATTGGTGCAATTGTTGGACAAAATGACTTGCTGTGGTATTAATTGCACTAAAAGCGTCCAAGGAGTCTCCACTTCATTTTTTTCGGTAAGTTAAATTATATGTATGTATTTTAGGTCACTGCCACCTTTAAACTAGCTGAGTTTATCGAAGTGGCTGACCGCTCGTTGAGCTCTCGGACAGGGCTGACCGCTCGTTGAGCTCTCGGACGGGGCTGACCACTCGTGGAGCTCTCGGACTCGTAGAGAGACCTGACCGCAGATATACTGCAGCTCAATTCCCTACCTAAATGCAAAGTTTGAGAGACGTGGTTTACTTAGGTATGCACTTCCTCCGGGCTAATTTGTCAAGTTCACAAAATGTGGAACGGGATGTGAGTTTAGAATCAGCGGCGAATCGGAACATATCTCGAAGCCCTGGCCGATGAAACGGTCCACATGACTATTACTGTCAGGCTCGGAGAAAATTCGGGTTGGTTTTGTGTCAGTCGGTAATTCTGCAACAGTGACACTAACTAACAAAGCACTAGTTGACAGACATCATTACAGCGTGAAATCCAGCACAGCGTGACCTCTCCACATCATATGTGACTGACTTTTACGTTATAATAACGATCACACACTAGGAATGTTATAAAGTGCCTATATCTGACAGTTTCTTTTGTATATTATCTGACTTTATAAACTCCAACAACAATGTGCTTCTATTTTTTTTTCAGGCTAAATCTACCCAAGACATTGGCTGTCAGACTAGTCTTCAAGAACGCACTTGTCCAGGCTGACGTGAAGCCTTACCCGTAGCAAAGGTGAATTATTTTTAATAATCTTCTATGTAAACATTTTATTATCACCTTGTAGTTTTAATTTGTTTTGCAGATTATTGTTACACGTGATTTTATGCTCTTTTAAACATTTATAAATGTGCTGTTTCTTTGTTTTTTTATATAGCCACCCAGTTTAGAGCTCCCAGCTGCTGTGTGTCTGGTGACACAGGGACCATGACGGAAATTCATCTTCCAGAAAGTCTGGCTCATCATTTAGCCAGATTTCTAAGGTATAGGCCAAAAATGTTTAGGTTAG